CCGCTACTGTATATGGGAGACTCTATCAGCCTATCTCCATGACAAATTTAAGCAGGCGACTAGCCGGCTCTGCCCTTTCTGAACTATTTCAGTCTAGCAACCGGCAAAGGCATGGACCAAAAAGCACCTGATTCGTACTCCTGGATCGCGCTGTCAACATGAAGGTTCTCGTTGAGAGTTTCACCAACGCCGCTTGCAATAGCATTGGTTGCCCGTGGGCCATCGGATGATGGTGAGCCAAGGCACTCCAGCTCCACATCCCTCCGTTGTTCGCTGATACTTCTCTGACGGTCCTTGCTAAAAACGAATGACATAAGATGATCAATAGATGAAAATATATTGTGTAGTTGTTGAGATATAATGGCAAAATCAAGAAGATTTATTTTTGACTCATTGTCCAGGATATCCAAGCTACTTCCAAAACAACTTTAACATTCAACAAATGTAAAATGGGTCTACCTGAGACAAACCATTCTTGCATATATCAGAGCAGAGGCGATAGGCAGCAGATACAAAGCAATCAAGGCAGAAATGGGTTTTAAAATAGAAGCACCATTATCAGCGACCCACGTAATATTGAATAGCTTTACGTTGTTGGGAGTACCTAGGCAAAACGCTGTGGTAGGCTGATTCCTTTTTGAACCGTATTCTCTCAGGAACATATCTTCGGAACAACTTACGAGCTGATACTACCAGTCCACACATTTGATCATCCTTGTTTACGAATATAAACATCAATAACGTTTCAGGGACATCCTTTCTTTGCAGCACTAGATCAAGACGACGTGTGAACTCCATTCGATGTAGAATACTACCATTACCCACAAAGTTCTCAAAGTTGCGTACGTAGGGATCGTCCTGTGCCAGCATATTAATGAGATTAAATAAGAAGAATGAAGAACTGAAGACTATTAGAAGTAGGATACCACAGAGTCGCCTTCCCTCTGTTTATGTTTATGCCTCCAAATTTAGGCTGTAAACTTCTAAAACCTACTTCACCTCCTGTCACAAACAACTGGGCACATAAGTCGTCATTGCTCTCAATCAATACGCGAAGTACCTCTATCCCTTGAAGAAAAATGAACTGGAGCAATATGACAAAATAAACGCAACATCTCGTATTTATTAATGAAAAGAGAACGACCTGTTGTAATGAGGCGATAGGAAAGTGGCCTGACGTATCCACCGCGCTGATTGGGCAAAAACCTTGTACTTGGAGTTGTATGAGGCAGCCTGAAATGCGTACTCTACAAAAAGCGACAAAATATAATAACTCAATGTTACGACATCAAATAGGAGAGAGTGCTCCTGTTCCACTATATATCGGCTTTGGAGTATGATGTTGACTTCAGAACTTGTTCGTGGAAGTGGGTTGTAATTAGGCATTCAAGTTTGTAGCTCGTATCACTCACTATGCGAACCGCAGTCTCTACGAACTCGGAACTTGAAACTGATAGAGAGCCCTTGTTATCACCTAAAAACCACAAATAACTAGTTACTAATGCTAAACTAAACTAATATCTGTTCGATAACACTCATGTGAGGTCAATCAATGTGATCCTTTTGTTTTAGAAAGACTTACAGGATAACCGCCTTCACACTCTGCGATGGTTCATGAGCGGAAGGTCAAATGAGGAAGGTGAAAAACGTAGGCATTGGTCGATATTAAAGATTCATGGGAATCATGCCAGACATACCAGTTCTTCTTCCCTACTTGATGTGCAAGCTACAAAGCAAACAATGCCGGAAATGTAGTTAGCTGATATACGAAAAAGAGCGGGAGCAAGTTTGAGCTACTCAAAGGCGTCAAGTACTAACATTAGACAGCTGAAACATCTACCATGTGAGACATTATTGGAAGCCAGCAACTGCTTTTAGGGCCGGAACCCTTGAATTTTCGTCCATAGGTTTACGCAGAGAACAAAATATTCATATTGATTGATAAATATAAGGAATGATGGCCCGCCGTAAACCGGGCGGCCCAACTTTTTATCATATAAACTATTACAACTTACTTCACATCATATTGGGCTCGGTCGTAACGTGAAAAGCGAATCCCAATTCCCACGTTGACGAAGGATCGAGACTGCACGGTAGCAGTAAGAATCTGCCTGTGACCGCCTTCAAAGTCTGCCACATCCAAGGGATGTATTACGCGAGCGCCCTCATACAAAATAGTACCATTACTGAAAATATGATTAAAAAAGAGGGCGGAAGTGGTGTAGTGGCAAATGGCGCACTATATCACACGCACGGTCAGGGGTACGAATCCCGGCTCGACGCCCGCCTAGGCCAACCAAGCCTTCCATCCCTCCGGGTGAATTGGTACCAGACTTGTCTCGGAGGATAGAAGCACTAAGTTGTACATCGGCTGGCCACCGCAAGTCATTGTATAGGCCACATACGCAATCATTACGCCACTACGATTCTGAATGGAAGTCGAGTGCGGGGGCGCATCCCTCAGACGGGAT